ACACTTTAACTCAAAGACAAAGTGACTTGAACCAGTTTCGTCAAGACACGTTAAGACACGTTAGCCACAGCGACTTCATTTTGGATACAACATTCTACTCACAGCCAGACATAAACACGGCATTTTTCTTGGGAGAAAAAGGGCCGCCTGTGTGTGAGGAAGTTTGTCATACTGTGATCAGATGAGTTCTGTGAAACAAGTGCAGCATTCTGCCTTCTTGGATCTCTATTACAATGTTTTACCTTTTCTTGGTTAGTCTTTGGGGTCTTTAAAGTCTGAAAGGATTCTTTTTGATACCATATCTTTTTTTTTTTTTCAAATGATACACTCTCCGTTATTTTTCATGATCAATAGCACTGAAAAATACAGAAACCTTAAAAAAAACTGCCAGAGAACAAGAGAGTGCTGTCTAAATTGCACAAAAACATCGGCCATGTGATGAAATGTTGGGAGTTTTTTTGTGCAATTTAGACAGTTTGCAGGAGTTTTCTTACCATTGTGGTCGTTATAAAAACTGAAATGACCTAATATTGGGTGCCTATGACTTCTATATGTGTTGCCATGGTGTTGAAGCAGGTATTGGTATCATCTTATCTATAATAGTAATTTATCAAACTTTATAAAACAGCTTTTTTGATAGCCTGTTATGCAAGACCAGCAAAAAATAACATCCTACTGGGGTTACCTACATACAAATTTGTGCCATTGTGTTGGCCTTAAATGTCACATGAAGTGATCTTAAAAAGGCAGAAAAAGCCTTAAATTCCACTTGCAGGATCTTGGAGTTATCATAACATTTTGCTTCCCAAAGAGAGGCTCTATCTAGAACGCTGGACGTCGATGGGGGAGATTTTCCTCGTGATTGAACTCAAGAAAGTCGAACGGCAAATCGTTGGAGCAAAGTCAAGTTTAGCCTTTATGTTAAAGGTCCCCCCTCCTCTCTTTCTCAGCAAGACACATTATAAATAACGCTGGCACAATAAACGCCACCTTGATAATTGGGCCATCAGTCAAGGAGATGTCAAGCGACTGGGTGGATCAACCTCTGTGCTCTCTGTGCTCAGCTTAGCCACAGTCGACCATGATGACAGCTTGAGCAAAAGTTAGCAAGTAAAGCAGCACACTGCAAGAAAACCCGCTTGATAACGGGTCCTGTTTGAACCACATCGCCTTCGCTGGAGTATACCTGCTCATTTATGGAAACTGTTATTTCCTTGAAGAAGCCAATGATGGGTCATATTTAGTCTTTGGAGGGTCACAACAGGACAACACATATATTATTAAAGCAAAGGTCACATAGTGTTGAGTAACCACACTGCAAAAAGTTGTATTTGAGCAAGTGTCGAGTTTCTTGCGTTGAAATGAGACGTTACTGTTTAAATGAGTTAGTACATCTTATTTCAAAACACTCAACAGTAACAGTTTTTATTCATAGCAAGTGGTGCTGGTGGTGAATGTGGCTTAAAAATGTGTAATAAGGGTTATTTGATTAGAAATTAGACAACCACGCTAAGATTTGAGTTTTTGTAACCAAGTTTTTTCATCCACAACAAATATATTTTTTACATGTTTTGAGTTTGTCCCTTCATCTGTAATTCACATCTGCACTCATTTTTAATATCCTAGAGTATAGAGTACCATCCCATCATCCCCTCTCCATCAATGCATCAGTCTGTACTGTTTTGCATGTGAGTTTGGAAAACCTTTTTTTTTTTTTTTTTTTAAAAAAGGCATTGTGAGAAAACCTTAAAAACACCTGAACGTTGTTTCATTTAAAAGAATGTAATGACTGACCCACGATCAGTTTGCTAAATGTCCTAACTGCCCTGCCCGGGGATTGGAGGTGGGAGGGGGGGGGGGAGGGTGCGGCGACCATCCCGCTGAGCTCGCCGTGGTGTCAGAGACATGTAAAGACAACACCGAGCAGTTGTGACTGGTCGAGGTTGCGGATCATCAGCAATTCCTAACAGCAACTGGTGGCCTCCAGCCGTCCCGACAGTTGCCATGACATTGTTTTGTTTAATGTTTTGCCCTACAGGAAGCGGTGTATAGCCCTGACCATATAGCGTTCGGGGCATGTGGAGTGAATGGATTATCTTTTAGTTTTAAAACCTGGTGATAAATGACAGGCTCTTGGTAACTTATTTACCAGTGCTCTGAGTTCCCACACTCAGGCTCTTTGAATACAGTACTCTGCTGACTTGGGAGCTCTCTCACATTGTGGGATTTTATCACATGCTCGTTTCTGTCTCCTCTGTTTTGAACTGCGCTATGTTTACATCTGTTTCGATTGATTTGAGCTACAAAAGTGGGCTAGGGTCTGAAAGAAAATTCAATATTTGCACTTTAATCAGTGTTAAGAGGAGCACAAGTTAAGGGGGAGAATACGCTCTGTGATTAGACATTTGGACGCTCGGTGGTTGTATATTTCCATCAGTGTTGTCCAGTAGTAGTGTTTCTGTTGAGCACGGTGTACCAGGATGTGCAGGCCTCTCATTTACGATAAGCCCTCCCTTCCCTTATCCCAGTCTCCTCCCCTGTTCTTCCCTCCCCTTCATAATAAATGTCATAGTTTCCAGAGTGGGAAGGAGGCAGAGAAGGGGGGGGGGGGGGGGCGGGAGCTCAGAGAGTGTAACAAGACCACAGCAACTCATGCAGCCAATGAAATTCAGAGGGATTGCTTCCGTGGATGTTTTTTTCCTCTTTCACTCTTCTTTTTCCTTTTCTTTAGTTGTCTCACCCCGCTCCCTGTGACCCCTCTTTCTCAAGGGGGCCCCACCAATCTGAGCAGTTCCAGCTATTTTGCTTGGTGTGTTTGTGTGTGTGTGTGTGGTGGTGGTGGTGTGTGTGTGGTGGTGGTGGTGGTGTGTGTGTGTGTGTGTGTGTGTGTGTGAGGGCTGGGGGAGGGTTCACTAGGGGGATTTGGCAGCTCCTTTGATCAGTAAAGCATAAACAAGAGGGGGCTTCAAAATGGGTTGCATTGTGTGTGTGTGTGTGTGTGTGTGTGTGTGTGTGTGGGGGGGGGGGAGTGCTGAGTCAGGCCCTCTCGCTCTCTGGCCTGGGACAGAGCGCAGACAGGCAGGCTGGGATTACCGCAGAGGCCAAGAGAAACTCTCTGAAATCTCTCACTTCAGCCAGCTGTTCCAAAATCTGGACTAATGGCACTTTGGGATCAAATGAACAGTGATATGTGAAGAAGCGCTGTCACTGGAAAAACACATGCAGAACATGATTTTTTTGCAGGGTATAAAAAAAAAATAGATCCCTGAGGTTTATAATTAGGTCTGATTTGAACTGAAGCTTTATTTCTGTCATGTGTTTTTGAACCAATTCAGCCACAGTTGCACTATAAACAGAGTTGTGTTGCTGCACAAACAAGCTGCCAGGTTTTGGTTGCCTATTTGTTTGGGATTGGGGGGGGGGGGTCCCTTTAAAGGGGATGTTTTAAAAAAAATAAAATAAAAAAAGAACAAGTGAATAGCGGGGTTTTAGGTCGTAGCTCAGTCTGTGCCTTTGTCAAGCAGGTGAAGGCTTTGTAAATGTGGCGCCAGATTGTTAAAGCCCCTGACACTCCACAGTGTCCGAGCCACTTCCAGGAAAAAAAAAAAAAAAAAAGACCCCCTGCGTTGAGCCCTGGGACTGACCCTCCCTCAATAGAGAGGGTCCTGCTCGGGAGAGGAGGGCTTCCTGTATTAGCTTTCCATCTTAATCAAGCAACAAGTACCAACAAAGCACTAATTATCAATGCCTTCACAGAATGCAACACAATGCCCCCCCCCCCCCCCTCCTCCCCCCGGTCCCCACTCCTGTCCCAGCAAAGACGAGCCATAAAATAGACGGAGCAACACCGTCTGATGTTACAATAGTTGTTTTGGAACGTAGACTTTTTTAGAAGATGTTTTTAACTAACCTTTGACAGGCAGGAAAAGTTTCAACGGTTGTGCTGTTTTGGTTAGTTTTTACTTCAGATTTAGTTTCTCCTTTCAGATTCATAACAAACAGACTTAATTTACTAGTTGTGGATGATAAACGGGTTAATCTTAAACCTATTGTGAATCTGTATTGTATCGTATTGTGGCTCTACATTGAGTCCAACCAGACACAGCTGAGTTTCCTGTAACAGTCATGGTTTACACACAGCAGGAGCTAGATTCTGTGTTTTCATCAAAAGAGCTTATTGTTGCTTCCATGAGTCATCAGTTCCTGGACATGACCTGCTGTTTTGAGTTGATATGGCCTCTAGTTTGAACTCACTTCTGATTCCTGGGGGTAATCATAGACTGTTTAAAACACAACACAGTCTCAGTGATGTCACACACGGGTTTCTTTTCTTTTTCTTTTTTAAGATTTGTTTTGGGGCTTTTTGTGCCTTTTTAATGGAGAGATAGGACAGTGGATAGAGTCAGAAATCAGGGAGAGAGAGAGTGGGGAAAGGAGCCACAGATGGGAGTCGAACCTGGGACACATGGGGCGCGCGCACCCACCTACTGTGCCACCAGCGCCCCTTCACCCATTGGTTTCTGATGCACAGTTTTGCAGCTGAACGATGGTGGTTGACATATTGAACATGCTCACCTAGCTTTTGTTCAACCAAGAAACAGGCAGAGAGTTTGAGCTGAGACAGTCCTTCAGTCTCCTGGCAAACAGCTACAAAGCTCCCGCCTTGTCATTCAACTCAGCCACGCCCCTAGTTTTCATAACTCCGAGCCTGAATATCAAAAAAAAAAAACAATGAGTTATATTTAGAAAAATCACTATACCAAGAGAGACACAAGCTATTTTACCAGGCTGTGAGCATGTTCTGTCTGCTGTCAAAAGGACAATTAAACATGGATGTTATTGGGACTTCTGGGGCTGTTGGAGCCAGTCTCAAGTGGACACTCAAGGAACTGCAGTTTTTTTGCACTTTGCATTTTGCAACACTGGAGGTTCCCCCTTGGTAGAAACACACTGATGCTAATTGTTTGAACTAATATTGTGCTTCTCTTGTCTCCCTACAGCCACATCGATCAAACCACCACTTGGCAGGATCCCCGCAAGGCCCTGCTCCAGATGAACCAGGCTCCCCCGCCCAGTTCTGTACCGGTGCAGCAACAAAACCTTATGAATCCAGCCAGTGGTATGTAAATGTTGACTTTCTTTCATTAAGTTTCACTATAACAGCAGCAAAGTGATAAAGTATGTATGTGTACAAAAAAAAAAGATCATGTGTTTTGCAGACTAAAGTCAAAATTAAAAAGCCTTGCCCCTTTTTATTTTTTTTTCCCGGTTCATTTTCTTACTTTTATGTAACATCCAGTAGAAGTCATGAGCAGCCTCGTCTAGTTCTTACAAGTCACTAAGACTGTGTGTACCTCAGTTCTGTCCGTGCAGTTGGAATTCGCCCTAGGTGAGGTAAGACAGGGGTAGAACGTGACAGGTCCTGTCTGACATGTTTGGGAGCTCCGTGACTCACAGATTACAGAGTTTACAGACGAAGTATCTCTGTATTCTCAAACCATCGCTGCTGCAACCTTCGAGTAAAACATAAAAAAAACAAGCGTTTGTTTATTGTGATACACTCTAAAAGATAAAACATACGTTGCTGCTTCCTCTTTTTTTTTTTTTTTTTTTGCTTATTTATAACCATCTAGCCTTTTTATTTTGCACTCGAGCACATTTGAGACTAAATGTCTATATGATATCCTATTGTCCCGCTCTATGATTGTCTTTAACCTCAATATGCTGTTACAATGCCCAATTATGTATGAAAGTGAATTATTGGCTTTAATTTGAGCAATTCTGGTGATTAAGAGAAATCTGAGTATTGAGTTAAACCACCAGGATCTCTGACATGACGTTTTCTGGTCATCCTTCAGGTCCTCTCCCTGACGGCTGGGAACAAGCTATTACATCAGAAGGAGAAATTTACTACATCAACCACAAGAACAAAACCACATCCTGGCTTGACCCACGACTTGACCCACGCTTTGGTCAGTTTTCTATTGACAGTCTTTTTAACCCCTTAGCTTCGTACTTCCTCAAAGTAAAAAACAAAAACAAAAAAAATAAAAAAAAACATCTATGTTGTGCTACTAAATGAAAGCAGTACACCCACACTTCATTGTATTAACATATTTAAGCTAAGTGTTTAGCTTTCTCCAGTAGAGAACTCTGGCTAATCCATAAAAGTTGCATTGTCCCTATTGTAACACTGAGTACAATTCTCTATGATTCATAGTTCATTTCAATGCACTACATTGTTTTAGAGTGACTAGCCATACCATTGGTTGTTGAAAACAGATTTCACCAAACCCCCCCCCCCCCCCCCACTCTCAAAATCTGCATCTAACCTTTTGTCAGCCATTTTAGTGTCGGAGCAACAGCTGAGTTGGCCATTAATCCCCCGGGCCGAGCTAAAGTTTGACAGTTGGCTTTCAGTATGTGGTGGCCATGCCTGGTGAATTAGTGACAGGACCAGGTACATGTGTTGAGAATTCCTGTGTGGCCATGGGAATGAGCTAAACCTCCTGCGCCAGAAGGACTTTTTGAGATGAAGGTCCCTGCTTATGTCACTCTGACTCATTTACGCTTCAGGTGCCATCCTTTCATTACAACAGCATTCCCCCAGGGAAGCTCTCTCTGCTTCACAAAGGCAACATGTGTGAATCAGCACGCAGGCTGTTATCCTGGTTAATTTTAGTGCTGCTTTATATATCGTGCATGGGCACTTTAAGGGCAGGTTTTTTTTTTTTTTTTCTTCCTGTAGACAAGTGTTTGTCCCCCCTTGTGAAGGCGGGCAGGAGAGTTCAAAACAGAGTAGTAAGTGGGGAGTGGGGCAGCTGGGGGAGAGATGGCGGCACTGATCGGCAAACCGCTTTGAAGACTTATAAGTCTTGAAAACACAAGGCTGCTGGGCCTCTGAGTGAGGGAGAGGGGGGAAAGAGACCGTGTTAACTCATTATGTGCCATCAAACATTGTTAAGTCAGATAAACCTATTGACTACTTAAAAATCCCAAATACTCATGTTTAAAAAAAAAAAAAAAAGAAATCTTATTTGTGGCTCATTCCTGTATTATTTGTACCTTTTGATCTCAGAAAAGTCATTTTGCTATCACTTGATTTTAGAAGTGAGGCTCTGTGTTTGAAGGAACCCTTTACAGTCATTTTTTCCTCATAACATTTGAGCCCAGAAGTAGGCTCCTCTGCTTCAGAATCCTCTATACTGCTGCTATGTAGGTCTGCAATCATAAGCCAGCTGCTTTGATAATGGAGGCTAATTTGAGCTTTAAGAAGAAAAGCAGCAGAGTGCCTTTAACTGAGGGGTTTGTTGCCGGCTGGCTTTCCCCTGCGTGAGGCCCAGCGCAGGCACAGCCCCATTCTGCTCCAGCTCCAGACAGACTTGAATCTCGGCCAGGCCTCTTTATTCTGTGGTCCAACTCTTAATCTGTTCCAGACCTTTTCAGTCAAAGAACTCCAATGTGAGGAGGGGAGGTGGTGGGGTGGGGTGGGGTGGGGGTGGGGGGGTGGGCAGGGAGAGGCAAGGCGAAAGGGGAAGAAAGAAAAACGGAGGAACAGAGGGAAAATGCCGACAGGGATAAGCATGCATCCTCTTAAAGATCCAAGGAGGTGGTGAACAGAGAGCAAGACATGAGCGCACTGTGGCTGGGGGGCGGGGGGGGGGGGGCTTATGTTTATATGATGTTTTCTGTATGTTACACTCAGGATGAACAGCATGGAAAACATACTAGGAGGACACTTGAGGTCGCATAAGGATAGAGTTCCCTCTGGGAGTTAAAGTAAAGCTGTTTACCCAACACACACACACATATGTCTGTATTATCCATCACACGCCTCTGCTCTCAGAGTACTTTACCAAGAGAGTGTGAATCTCATTAATGATGTCACTGCCATAAAAATACTTAAAGTGTGGAGGAGGAGGCAGCAATGAGCCGCTTTGACGGGGCAGTTTGGATTTTCTCATTTAGGTCTGTGTTGCTCCTGTATTCTGATTTCTGCAGACAGTCTATTAGGAGAAAAATGTCATAATAACTTGAAAAATTCAGCATGTAAAAATAAAATGTCCTGTTAACTTCAGCCCCTTTTACACGGCATGTTCAAGATGGGTCTGTTGCACCCCACCTTCTGTGTAAAAGATGGAGCAAAGTAGTTCTGCATTAAAGGCAGCGGTGGGATGAAAAAAAGCTCATCATATTAATCGACCTGTTTTTAATTTCATGATTAAAATGAAAGACATTAACTGTAATGGCAAAAAAAACAAATTGACTCCCAGGCGAGTTTTCAGAAAGGCTGATGTTTGTATGACATTCAGACCGTTTCTCCTCTTTGCTTCTATCAGTGTCAGAATCACAGCACCTTCCCAAGGGGCCTTTCTCAAACTTGTTCAAACGACCGCAGACGAATGTTTACAGAGCCCTGGTCACACACATAGAGAACTTCCCACAGCTGGCACACCCTCGACTGTACCTGCCCCCAGGTGATCTGGTGGCGTAGTGTACCTGCCAGTGTGATGCCTGATAAGGGCTTGTGTTGCTGGCTCGTCGCGTTGAAGGGTGCGTGAAGAAGACAAAAGGCAGACGGCTTTAACTTGTCTCTTATCTGCCTGCTCCACCAGCTTTCACCGCCCGTATGTGCTGCTGACTCCAAACACACACACACACACACACACACACACACACACAGACACACAGACTTCTCAGCCTGGACTGGCCTGCTTTATGCTATCAAACTGGCCCTGAACTGAACCTGTCCTTCGCTCCTATCTCACCCGCAGATGTAATTCCCTGCTTTTGATATGCTCATTGTTTGTGCATAGTTCCTCCAGGAACATTGGTTACTGTTAACTGTTTGGTCTGCGAGGGAGGCCTTGACTGTGTGCATTTGTCTGCATACAGTCCTGTGTGTCAGTGAAATCTCTCTCTTTATGTCAGCCTTTCTTTTTTCATGAACACTCCTCAGAACCCCCGATGGTTTAAAATAGAATTCCAGTACAAGGACGTTTATTATCTTGTTATTTATTTAAATGTAGCCATCGCTTCTACTGACTTTGATAACAAATGTTCTGTGAAGAGTGAAAGCTTACATGTGGGAACATTGGGAGATAATACAGCAAATAAAGGTTGGTAAATGGAGATACATGAAGAAGACTTTTAAATGTTATGAAAACATTGCAGCCGAAAGTGAACCATGTAGTTTTTCTGGAAACTTTTTCATAAACATGAACTTTTCCAGAATCTGGTATTTTTCCCCTCACATCTTTTAGCCTCATGTATCAATGAATCTTTCCACAAATACCTCCACTCACCTTTTAAGGTGTGGACTTCTGCAAAGATCAAGCCTTTACAAATCAATAGCTGCGTACATTGATTTTTTTTTGCAGCACCTCTGCTTTGAGAACAGCTGATGGGGGGGAGGGAGGGGAGGGGGGTGATCCAGCCACAAAAGGACTCAGTATCTGCTAAAGATAAGAAACAGAGAGAAGAAACACACTCCACCAAGTGCTTCAGTTGATGTGTGTGGGAGAGAGGAGGTGGCGGCTCCATGACTCTGTGTGGGGTTTGTGTGGGAGCGTATGTGCTGCAGGGTGGGGTTGTTGGGGGGGGGGCAGCGTTGGAGAGAGAGGCAGGGGAGGAGGGGGAGACGGAAAGGCAGGGTATAGGGCGGGGCCACCCGAGCTTCCCAGGGAGAGCCCTGAGCCGAGTTCATTCAGCTCCTGAGATAGTGTAAACAGACAGTGATTGAATGGTGATGAGAAAGGTGCCGGGGAGGGCAGCACAGAGAGAGGCGGCCCCGCATGAAAATTGTTCCCCTGTCAGGGCTTTTGTTTTGGTCGTTGCTTCAATCACATACGCAAACAGCGCTCCGCATTGGTTCAATCACTGTTACACCCCTTGTGGTCAAGCACATTTGCTTCTCATTCTCTGCTTTAGTGATAAAATGTGTGACCTACTTTGCATGCATAGATTAATGTGTTGCTGTGCTGCTTTTATGCTCATGTTTATTAGGCCCGCCCCTCACTGGAGTGAAGAACAGCTAAGATTTCACTGGGGAACAGCAGTGTTTTCAATACACACACTTTTGTTTCGGATAATGTAAACACGCAGTTAGGCTGTTAGCGCACAATACAATTACATGTGTTGGGTCAAAGAACTTTGAAGCTAAATTCAATAGAAGTACAGTGTTTACAGAACCTGATGTAGGTCGACAAATTGTCTGATCTGCACGCTGTGCTCCGCTGCATTCATTAAGGCGGCCCGAAGAGGACGCATGCACCGGTAAGGAGGCCCGTCAGTCTTCAGGGATAATCTTTTGATTTGTTTAGAAATGAAACAAAACGCTGTACGATGAAAGGATAAGTCATAACTGATGCAACGTGCAACACACAGCTAACAAAGCCTGTCTTAGTCAGCGAGTGGGAGGGGATCAGGTCTTACAGGAATTGTGGTGGTTTCAGACACCGGGCTGAAACCCCGTGCTGGGACATCCCTTCCGTCCTACACAACCTGCTGCACTGGCTCAGCTCTTTCTACAAGTTCAGCTTGTAAAAAAAAAAAAAAAAAAAGAAGCAAAACGCTCTACAAAGTTGTCCGTCTTGTTATGCAGAGTTTGAATGCAGCCGAGCATTAAGAGGTGTAGCTGCAGAGATTTAAGTGTGGTGGTAGTCAGCTTGGGATCTTGTGCGTATTATTTTTGGTGCAAAACTGTGAAATGTTCATAGTGGAACCTGCATTTAGCACAGCCTTAACTCATAAGGTGATACACAGCACACATACTTGAGCCATGACACTCACTTGAGACACAGATCATTTTGCCTGTATCCTCAAAATCATTTTGGTGGTTAGTTTTGAAAATTTTCCCTCAGAATTAAAAAAAAAAAATCAAAAACTACAGGAAACTATATATTATTATATTATAGTAGCAGGAACTACATTGTTTAGATTACCTTTTTATGACGTTTATCCTCGATAGATCCTTTAGTATAGAACATTTCTGCACAATTTGAATTTTCAGAATATGCACATTTCAAAAATAACTACCACATAATGTTAAGGAATAATACACTGACCAATTAAAACTCCTTTCTGTGTTGTTGTTGTTTTTTTTTTTGCAGCCCTGAACCAGCAGAGGATTACCCAGAGTGCTCCAGGGAAGCAGGGAGGCCAGCTTCCTCCGAGCCACAGTGCAGTCATGGCGGGCAATCAGATGAGACTGCAGCAGATCGAGAAGGAACGGTTGAGACTGAAGCAACAGGAGCTGCTTCGGCAGAGACCACAGGTGAGAAATCGCAGTCGAATCTGTGAGGAAAATATTAAAATGCTGGGGGTCTCAAGGAGGAACAACGCGTCTTTAATGAAAGAGCTCAAGGCTGTCATCATGTCTCCTTAAGAGTGGTTGCAAGATGCTGGACCTTAAACTTCTCGATTGTTCTGCAAAATGTTTATCTCCTGAGATTTAATGAAAACATTGAATAGACCTTTACACATGAGTCATTATTCGTTGGTGTGGTGGTGGATCTTAAAGCCCTTTGATTGCTCTTCATTGTTACACTACCCTACAATGAAGTCTTCTGAGTCATACGTGGTGATTTTATCACTTCCTAACAGTGATGTGTCACAGTGCCGCCCACTCAGGGTGTTACAGCCAAATCCAGCAGTTTACTCAAGGCTGTGTCATAACACCAGAAACAGAGCTTTATGATTATGAATGAGGGCTCTGGCCACTTTGTTGACGGTGCCTTACACATTGGCTGTTTAAAGTTCACAGTGTAGGAAGTGACTCAAGTGTGTTCATGCACCAGGCTGTAAAGACACGGGTATCATATTTGAACTGTCCCTACTGAACGTCCTCAGAGCATACACTGCGTGTTTTATTAACATGGCTTTTGTTGACTTTGTGAAGCATCAGGTGAAGAAGAAATTGCAGACCAGACTCTAATCAGGCTATTGACTAGTTTTCCCTGAACCCAAAATACCAGTTACCATTTAGATATAAGACACTTGCCTTACTGTACTTGCAAATACAGAGCAGTGTGATTATAGGAGGAAATTGTGCAATCATACTGACTGTGTGTTTGTCAATGGAGTTCAACTTCTGGACAAGTTTGCCACGCCTACATTTATTCCGCATGTAGAAGAAGTATGATGAAAAATGGGTTGCAATGTATGCAACTTGCCAGCGGCATTCGAGTGCTGACGCAAAAAGAGAGGCAATAAAATGATAAGTGTTGCTTACAGTATGCAGGGCTCATAATCCGGCTTAATAACAACCAGATGGTTAAGCAGTGTGCGTAGGATTCTTAGATAAATGTCTTATTTCATAAAATAAATGTCTTTAAGTATAAGCAGCATTTACATCTAAAACAGAAAACAGAAAGAAAAGAAAGGGAAAAAAAGTAATTTTTTTTAATAAAGGGGTAATTATGACTTGGTTCATTTCTACTCAACCACAACCAATAAAAGCTTCCAGCCAACCACTTAGGGCGTCTAGCAAGCCATTTTATGTCCTCTCTAAAAAAGGTTACATCCCATCACCCAGTAAAGGTTTATTGAAATCTCATAACTACAACCGGACTACTCATTTCATCCTCCTGTTCCGAGGACTTGCAGGAAAGGAGGTGAAAAAACAAACACATGACTTCATATCCTCTGCCTTATCTGATTCAGCGTGTGTAGAAAACAATTGTCTCCCAGTTGCGGTCAGCCCCTCATGTAATCTGACACTGTGCATGGGTGGGTTGGGGGGGGGGAATGGAGAGCCACCATGTCGGCTAGTGGGTGTGTTCATGCTTAATTCATCATTTTATGCAGTGACAGCACAGCAGCGGCAGTGTGAGGCAGTCCTGACATGTTTTTCCCTGAAGCTGGAGCTGTGTATAATTAGCTTCTGAGGTTAGGGGTGGGGTTGATTGTGTTGCTTATGAGTTTCGTTCTGTATCATCCACAGGAGCTTGCTCTAAGGACTCAGCTGCCTATGGATCAAGATGGCAGCACGAACCCGGTGTCCTCCCCTATGGCCCAAGATGCCCGGACCATGACGGCCAACAGCTCTGACCCATTCCTCAACAGGTTGGTTTCACACAGAAGCCAGAAGAGCTCCTCTGTAGAGCAAAGAGCACGCTGAGGTGCAGCTGATTGACGTCAGAGCACTTGGCAAAGGCTCACAAAGTCTCCTTCAGCTTGTCAGACTTAATGTATCCCCGGTTGAGGGAGACTGTGTGTGCTCTCCTGTTTGATTTTGAGCTCCAGTGAGAGCTCCCCGAGTTACACAAGTTGTAAAAAAAAAAAAAAAAAAACAGCAGAGAGAGAGAGTCTCTGGGCTTAACCCTCTTCACATGGCAATGACTCATTTACACCGGCAAGTCTGTGCTCCAGGTTTACTGCACAATGATGACCTCTGGTGTACGACTGTTGCACAATAAACACAACCGCAGACTAAATGGTGGTGTAACCTGTGAAAACATGTATCAAACTTCTCCTTATTCGAAGCAGAGATGGTAAAAAAAAAAAAAAAACCCACTAAGGGCAGATAATGATCTGAAAACCATTTTTCAATAAAGCAGAGGCCGGAGTTTTGAAGCTGTCTGCTCTGGGAAAATTAATGGTAGCTGTTCAAGCTCCAGTTCTTCTGTAAGCAGATGAAGTGAGGAGAGAGCTGAATAGCAAGCAGGCCATGAGAACATGTGGTCCAGTCAGTAGACAGGCCAACCTAATCTCCCCTCCTCCCCCCGTTGCCTCCGCTCCCCTGCTTTTTACAATGGCCTCATTCATCCTGCCTCTGCCATACTCTGCCTACATATTTCTCCTCTGCTAATTAGTATAGGCTTGTCAAATGTCTTCTCTCTGCCTCTTTGTCTCTCTGCTTGCCCCATTCATCGTTGCCCTTTTTCCTGTATTCTGTAATGGAAGTGAAGCTCGTTTTCCTCGCTGTCACTGTGGATTAGTCGCCACAGTCTTTCAAACAGATATATCTGTGGAAAACTGCGATGTATGCAGAAGGTTCCCCCGAGGGAATTAAGGCCACACTGCTACTTTTCCAGCCTGTGTGTGCTTTTAATAACTGTGTGTGTTTGCTTTGTTGGATCAGTTAATTAGATTCACACAGTTAAGTGCAGAGTCATGTAAAGTAAAGGTCATTAAGGTCAATCGGAAAAAAAACCTTTGCAGAGACAAAAAAGGCTTTTCTTTTTTCCTCCACTTTTCTTGAAATCAGGATGTTTTGAGTTACAGTCAAGAGTTTAACTCAGACGTGTCTCTATTTTTTTTCAGCGGGACCTACCACTCCAGGGACGAGAGCACAGACAGCGGCCTGAGTATGAGCAGCTACAGCGTCCCTCGCACTCCAGATGACTTCCTCAACAGTGTAGATGAGATGGACACAGGTAAATACAGATATAAAGCCTCGCTGCAGTTGGTTCTTTTTTTTTTTTTTTCCAGCTTAGGTTTGTTTCAGGATACAGTGTACTCAGGTTCATGAACACCCACCTGTGTGACTTAGCCTAAGGATGTGGTTAAATATTGTTATCTCGGCAAAGATTATCCCTCTTTATTTAGTTTGTTTTGTTATTCATTCGTTTTGTTCAGCCTTTTCTTTGTGTGTTACTCGTTCTGCTCTGATGTGAAGCGTTCTTGGATCTCTTTAAAGCAACAATATAACTTTTCAACCTTTAACATAGAAGTTTCAAAGTCTATCTAAGAGCACAACAACTTTCAACAGAAAAGCTTCCCTCTCATGGTTGTCTGCTTTAAGCACTATGTAAATTTGTCACCCGGCCGCGATTCTTTCACAAGAAGTGCGTACAGTTTTACGGCTCTAGCCTGTGAGCCGGTCTAGATTCTGTTTGATACAACGGCTGAGGCCAGAAGAGAATGCTGAAAAAGTGAGAGTTACTGAGTATAAGCGCTGTATGAATCAAAGCAAACCCAGTACTGGAATGCAGTTTAATTGGGTACTAGGACTCGTATTTGTTAGATTTGTACTAGAATCATATTAATTCTATTGAAATCTGTTGTCATGAGAACGCCTGTACTGTATATGGAAAAGGTGCAAAGGTTGACTACTTGATTGCACAACAAACTCCAGCCAGATATAGCCTTACTTTCAATATATCACAGTATCTAAATTCTAATAATAAGACTGTCAATGCCGCTGCCTTTTTAGCCTTCTCTGCTTGTTGATACTTTTCTTCACATGATGACGGTTTTGTTGTACGTGTGCAAAAAATTCCCCACCTCACCTGCTCTTCATCACATCATGGAGACAATATATTCCATTCATTTTACATACCCAATCCTTCAGAAGTATTCTGCGGCTTTCTCCCTTGACTTACTGTTGTTTTACTTCCTGTTCATTAGGGGACCCTCTTCAACCCTCCATGGTCACACAGCCCAGCCGCTTCCCCGACTACCTGGACGCCATCCCGGGGACAGACGTGGACCTGGGCACCCTGGAGAGCGAGAGCATGGCGGTGGAGGGCGAGGAGCTGATGCCCAGCCTGCAGGAGGCCCTGAGCTCGGACATCCTCAACGACATGGAGTCCGTGCTGGCAGCTACCAAGATCGACAAGGAGAGCTTCCTCACATGGTTATAGAGACCCGAGCGCCTCGCTGCTCCGCCGACACTCTGAACTGCTGCCTGCTCTGATCTGTGAAGGATTCATGGATGCTTTTTACAAGACATTTCAGCAAGCGTCTCTGTCTCGGCGCATAAGGCCGACCTCTTTTGAGGCAGTATTTTTTCCTGTTCTTCTCACTGGTGTGTTATCTCTTCATTTTGTCTGTGTCTTCAAGGCTGGCCCATGAACAGACAATTACGCAAGGGTCCCCCAAATCTTTCACAGGTCTGTCAGTGAATCTAGGGCATGTTTTACCCTGATCTCCCCCCTGGTCTCCCCTCATAACTGAGCTTGGCGAGTGCATGCGCTCTTCCTCAAGGACTGCCGCCGTCAGCTGTCGCCCCGGAGTCTCTGGTGCCTCTTCCTCTTCCATTATAGCATCAAGCAGCAGTGCTTCACTGAATTTGGGACTGTTGCAACTAGCTTAAGTAGCTTTATATTTTGGCCTTGTAACTTTTTATTCTTTCATTTGTTTTTTTTTTTGTTTTGTTTTTTTAACAAGCCTGAGAAACCAAAAATGATGTATTAGAAGCATAAAGAACAATACTGATTTGGAGTAAAGGTTAATGTGAGGCCCAGTTTGGACGTGTTGGCTTTGCTGGGGGTGTGTTGTGTGTGTGTGTGGAAGGGGAGGGGGAGGGGGGGGGGGGATGAGGGTTGGAGCCTGGGGACCGACTACATTGCTGCTTGGCTGTGCCAGCAAGTCTAAGTTAAACCTTTGATAGATCAAGTGCCTTCAGTTGTATTTTTTGGGACACGAGCGACACGAACAATGACTTAAGTTTTTGTAAAGCAGCAATAAGCCTTAGGCTGTTTCATTATAATCAGCCACTCTCTCCTCTATCTTGTGTTCAATAATCAAACTGTATTTTTATTTTATAAACACATTATAAGGGGATTTAGGGATTTCTGTTTGTTTTTTTGTTTTTTTTTAACCCTAGCTTCTTTGTATCTCAGTCTTATCCAAGCCTAATTCATGATTCATTCTTTGTTTTATCATTTTAGTATTCTTTTATTTTTAGGTTACTACATATGTATGATAGCTTAGAACAAATGGCATTGTGCTTGTTTTTATCTTCTTTCATAGATGGAATTTATACGTTTTAAACATGGCCGACCTTTTATCACAGCATGCCACTTCATCAAGATGATTGATTGATTCAGTTTGGGCTTTTATAACCATTAAGCTGATTCTCTCATTTACTTTATACATTACATTTAAGTGTTATTGTGTATTTGTTGATCACATGCAGCTTTTACTATCTTCCTGAACATTAACCAAAAAAAAAAAAAAAAAAAGGCAGATCTCTTGGCTAAACAGAAACTATAGCTCTGTGATCAAGTAAAACGTTGTGACGACATACAAAAACACGAGCGTTACAATGTTTGAAACTTCCTGAAGAGGGAGATGGAACCTCGGAGCCGTGCTGGGTGTTTAGAGAACTAGACGTGGACAAGTTTAAGCAGGTTGAAGAGTCATGTGGCGGGATGTAAAAGGCCAGGGTTTGACTGATAGTAGTGAGCTGTGCAGATTGATGATTTTTTTTTTTTTGTGTGTGTGAAATAATCAAGAAACAATCAGTTATTATCTCAGTCAGGAATTGTTGTGGCGGATTCCAAAGATGTTTTTTGTAATAACACTAATTTGTGTTTCCATTTTCACAGAGTCCAGAAACAGTATGATGTGTAAATCAGCCTGTGTATGAACACACTGTATAAGCTAATGAGAAAATGAGGTTGGTTTTTAAGTGTTAATGGACATGTATGAATAGATCTAGCTGAGAGATTCTTTTTTTAAAGACAAGATGGTTGTTTTGAGTGACTAACCCTGAGATTTAAGGAGGAGGTTTCAGAGCAAGTGATTTTTTTCTATAAACACTCACATGTTTACATTCTGAGTAAGAAACTGCGACAGCCACAGTGACAATTCTCTCATAATCACATTATATTGATGTTTACAGCATGACTAAATCTTTGCATCACTGCAGTAACTGTTGAATGATCAGACTCAGCAGGTTGTCACACTGATTCTGTTGCCGCCCAATCCTTTAATTGGAGGCTTTAACTTGATGGAACAACTTTATTTTTAGATCAGAGAACTTGAACATTATTTTTATCTTGAGTGAGAAACCTCTTTCTAGTTTTGATTTTCACTGATCATAAAATCACGTGTTAATGATGGATTAAAGGTGGATAAACAGTGTTGGTGAGAACAATGCAACTAAAACGAGTGGTACACTACAGTGCTTGTATTGCACGGCTACAGTTTTCATTTAAAATGCAATGATGCATTTTGTCATACAGACCTGATTTTATGCTAACTTAGTGTGTACTAGTCAGAGCATATTAGCTGTTGACTGTCTTGTAGCAATAGAACTAATCACACAAGTTAAAGGATTTTGTATTTAGAGTGTTCTAAATGCACATGAAATGAATTTATATTCAGTGATGATCTGTTCATTTTTGATAGATATGTGCATGTGTTTTAGAGCAATAAATTCTGTTACATTATATCTTGCTTCATATCATACTTTGAAATTGGCCTGAAATAAAGTATATTCTTTGTGGTAATGATGCCTCTTGTCTTAATGTATTGGATTTTATATAAGAAAATGTAATGTGAAAGGTACAAATATTAACATATTCTTAATGTGCACTACCTTTTTTCTCCATGTTCACAAAGTTCAAAGACTAATTTACAGGAGATACACATACACATACACATACAGGTGATTAAAGGGACAACAAAGCTGCAAAGCACATTCTGCAATATGGACAAGTAGGTGAAAAAAATAGTGTATATAAAATGTATTTATTAAGAAATATTTAACAACAACCTTTAAACACTTCTTAAAGAGCTTTTATTATCATTAGCAAATTAAGGAATATATATTTAAATAATTAATGTTGACTCATTAATGCAGCTATGATACATCAAATATTTGAAGTGTGCATCTGCGATATTATCCACAATTAAGTCTGTATGTAGGCCTACATTACATATATAGCAGATTTAACAGAATACATTCAGTTTTATTTGCATGAGTCAGACTAGAGCACAGACAAATAAAGCGTTAAGTTAAATCAACAATATATATATATATATTTATAGGCTATATAAGTTAATCTATTTATCACTAGTTTGTCTTTCGTCATTAATATCGAAACGGCGGAAGAGTTTTATTTTTAAAATCCACATTTACGTCTTATTTCGAAAGGGTTCGCCGGAAACGCTTGTGTCGCAGTCCCTGTTTGTGACCACTAGAGGGCAGTATAGATAGATAGACAAACATATTGAACACATTCAATAATGAGTGTGTTACTTCAATTTATTTCAATTGAAATGATAATTTCTTTATTCAATGTTTTGTTAAAATAAACATTGTCCCGCTTGAAAAACTGACTAGGGATTTAGAGTACTTTCTTATGTAAGTCAAATGTTGCAAGATGAAGTCATTATTGATCTAATTGAAGAATCTTTGCCTAAAATAATATCATGATAATACAAACTAAAGCAGCTTATTAATAAAGCTAAAGATAAACAGGCTATTTGAAGTAAGTGAGTCCCGTCTTTGCGTTTGATTGAAAACCAAATAATGATATTAAAAAAGATAAGCCAAACAACACTTCTTATATATTCATTTATTCAAATCATTTCATTAATTACATGTATTATAATGTCTCATTACTATCCCAATAATTATTAAATATCACATGGAAAAAAAAGAACTCTAATGGTTACATCATTTAAATTGCATCAAAATCTACCACAGATGAGTAAGCTTGAAGAGTAAGTAAGAAAACATTGTTCTCTGTGTGAATGGTAGCAAAACTTCTGAAGGTAAATCCCATTTCATGCTAAATAGTGGATGCAGATTCAGAAACGGAACCTGGAATCCCATGATGTACTAGAAAGCAACACAGCAATGTTTTCTTTTCACAGTGTGAATTGGGTATTTTTATGGTATACGACAGCACTACAGCATGAGTATGACAAACAAACCACGAGAACAGTGACTGCAAAGAAAAAGCACTTTCTTGGCCGATATACCGGGAGTAAAATGTGTGTGGTACTAGGGACAGAACACAAATTCTTTCACAGTAACTACAATACAAAACAATACAGTATACTAGGATAACAAATGATATGAGTTTATAAAATTCCTTTTTTTTTTAAACAGTATTTAAAAAAATGTTACCCCTTGCATTTTAACATCCATTATCTCTATAATTTGAGGTGCTGGACATTTTTTTTTAAGCGATCTCTGAGCAAAAATTCACGAGTGACTCCCAAGAATCTCATCCAAATTTATATCTTTCATCCAATCGTCGTTCCCAGAGCCCGATTTGAGCAGAGAGTCGATAAAGTCTGAGTCTGTGTTGATGCCTGGAACTGTGTTGTCTCCCTCAGGGAGGAAGTCAAAGGTCAGACGGTTTGCCCGGTTATTCTGAAAGCTACCGGAGCTGGGACTGGGCTCTGCAAAGGCTCCTGCTGGTACCCTCTGCTCAGGAGAGGCCTGGTTCAGGTTCCCCACTGCTGAAGGAGATCCCATCAGTGGCTGGCTCGGTCTTAGGCCCGGGTCCCTTATCGGAGTATTAAGAGGGAGCATCCCGATATCTGGAGCTACCTGGTTGGGGGGGCCGATGTGCCTCTGTTGGTACGGATGGTTCTGGATGTCCAGCTGTGCACCCTGAGACTGAAGGGGATTGGGAAGCCGCCTAACACTGAGTCCTTGTGTCACCTGCTTGTTGGCTGAGCCCCAGTTGACATTTTTCATCAAGCCTCCGACACCCTGTCCTGGTGCCCCGGAGGGATGCAGCTCAGCTGTCATTCTGGGGTGTTGACCACCTCCCACATTGTTCATCCCAAATGTATTTCCACGGACGTTCGGGACGTTCGGGACGTTCGGGCCTGGAAACCTTGTTTTATTCAGATGTAGTCCAATTCGATTCTGATTGTTATGCTGCTGGAATGGACCGATACAAGAACTCGTATGACAGTCGGTCCCGATGCCAAATCTGCGATCTGATGGGGAAGGAGTCATCTTTGAAGCGGGCCCACTCTGGAGGTGACAAGTCATGGAGTGAAGGTCATTCTCAGGGACACTGCTGGAGGACTGGGAGGAGTTTTGACCTGAAGAGAGTTCAAGAAAAAAAACTAGATTATAACAATTTCCATTAGTTAGCAGTTAAAGCCTTCCTTACTTGTGAGAGCTGTAACTCACCTGTGAACACGTTTCCTTGCTGAACTCCCACCATACTTCTTGACTGCTTGTAGTCAGGGGGCGGTCTCGTGAGGTGACGACTGTACTGATCGTGCATACTATCTTTGTCCTGAAATGAAAGACGAGGTTGTGAAAACTGACCATTTGAATAATTTATTCTACCAAATGAATTCAATCTCTAATATCGATGTAGCTTACCGAGTTGTTAATGGTGAGCTGTTGCTGGTTCAGCTGTCTCTGCATGGTTTTGGCCGGGCCTTTCTGCTGGTTGTTGGGTGCTGGAAGCCGCGGTTGTGACTGAGCTGACAAGACTCCTAAGTTTCCATTGGTGGGCAGCCTTGGAGCGGGAGGCCCAGCCTAAGAAAAAAAGAAATAAATAGAAGGATTTTATATTGCCTCTTTCTTTTTGTTGTGCTTGGAGATTGGAGTTAAGATCAGTGAAAGCTCTTGTAGAAGCACAAAAAAAAAAAAAAAAAGAATTGATGCAACAATCCGTTTTGACCACTAGAGGGCAAAACTCTACAAGGTATCACAGATCCGTTTCAAAGACGCTATTCAACCTTCAGAATGTGGTCAAGGCGACTCCCTCTGCAGATGAAAAAAGGGAGACTTTGGAGAGCCCATTTTTTCGGAAGGGGGAGCACCAGCCCTCCTCAAGGCTTTGCTTCTCCCTTGATAATTGTGTCTAAAGAGAGTGGAAAGAATCCCTGAGACAGCAGGAAACGTGTGCCAATAGGGAGTTAAGCGCCAGCACCATGACTACCTTCATTTAATAAGCTCTCTTCTACTGATCACTGTGTTGTGTTTGGCAAGAGGGCCTTCCATCCACTAGAAACCCATTTGGCTCGTGACACTATCACGCTGATTAAAATGTATTCGGCAGCCCTCAAATGAAACAGAGCTATCCACGCTAGCTTTTTGTTTGAAGTCTCGTCCTGAATGCATGCTTTTGAAGATACGTTTCACATCCCTGGGTGTTAGACATGTAACATGTTCTTGTTATGCATATTTCTAAAAGACAGCTGCTGCGGACCATCCGAGCTCCCCAAGTGAAACCTGTCTTTTCTTGTGGACACACGGACACTTGCTTTGCTCGAGCTTTAACTCTGTACGAGCATTTGTCATGAAAGAGGTTAATGTGCACCAAATCAAAGTCAACACGCGCTGTGTGTGTACAATGTCAGTCGTTCTGTTGACTCAAAATGTTTCCCAGGGTGAAATGGATTAGAAACCCAACCGTGCATTTAGCAGAAGCTATTACTTAGAGGACGGATCCTGTGCAGAAGATGAATCTCTACAGGGTGGTGACTGTGGTCCCAGAGAGGGAGAAAAAAGAGGGAAGTGTGTGTGAGTGTAAGTGTGTGTGTGTGTGTGTGTGTGTGTGTGTGTGTGTGGGGGGGGGGGTGTGTGTGTGTGTGTGAATGTTAATGGCTGGGACCGAGATTTGGAGAACTAACAAGACAGGATCAGAGAATGAGGGAAGTTGAATCTCATCAGGAGTCACAAGCCATTTCGCAAGCTAATATTCGCCTTCTCTGCCCGAGTTCAACCCACACAGCAAACCAAGCATCGCAATGAGGTTACACAGGGACTAGAACATCAAAACAGCGGTTTCTCCTGTTACTATAGAGAGAGCGGAGTCTACTGGCTTTGATCCACTGCATGCAGTTATCGAGACTGTGAGAAATGTGACCATCACAGTGTTTTCTTTGCAGAGGTACACCAGAGAGCACTTATCCTATCTTTGTTGTAAGAAAAAAAGACCCCAATGAGGAGAGTTTTAGAAAGCACAACTGAGTAATCCTCTCTGTCATCCTGATGTGTCATAAAGCTGTTTTCCATGTTTTTTTCCCCCTCCTCTCATTCTTCACAAGCTTGTTGTTAATGAATACCACATGTGGCTAAGGCCTCGGAGAAGGAGCCCGAGTGATTTAGTCTCCCATCCTGCAGCAGAGCAGGCAGCTGACAGTGATCCAGGCCCAGCCTTGCCGGCTCTCACACTGCACTTCCTCCAGTCTGGACTCATGACGCTGTCCCTGGGGAGTGCCTCGGCATCTGGACTTGGCTGCAGCTCCCTTTCCCAGGAAACAAGCACTCCCTTCACTGCACTGCCAGAGTGACCTGGTAGTCTCAAACCACCACTAGCCCCCACTCTTATCCGCACTGAGGATTTGGTGCCACAAGATCATCAACAAAAATGTTGAGGCTTTTTTTAAAATAATTAGCAGGAAACAAACCTTTATCGTAAGTCGCCATCGTAACACAGGTTTGTTCATTTTCAGGAAAAGATAGTACTCCATTCTGCAGAAAGCGAAGAACGAGCTCCTGTGTAGTATTCAAAGGGAAATCTGTAAAAGCTGAAGCTGCTCACTGGGATGATGAAACTGCTGCCAAGTGTCTATCCTCACTTGATCTAACAGGGTTTTCTTATGCTGAGCAGACGTATAAGTCACTCTGGAAAAGATCGTCTGCCAGATATTGTAAATAATCATCTGAATGTACATTTTTAGAAAGTATCCAAATACAAACACACACAAAACTCTTTGCATGAAGAGATTGAAAAAGCATGCAAAAGAATAATTTGATGCTTAAATGTATGTAACTGCTCAAATAAATGTATTCATCTTTCTGTGTAAGTAATGATCCTGTCTTAGTTTTTCCACGACCTAAAAAACCTCATGCAAATGCATTTTTAAATTTGATGAAATGAAAGTAGTATGCTCTCCAAAGGGACATAAATGGGGAATCCATATTATTGCATGATAAAAAAAAAACAGACCTGGAGTTAATTTGAATACATCTGGATTGTATTCATTTTTGCTAATTAGACTTTGGTGTTAACAAAAAGCCATTATTCTATTTCTTTGGCTTGAATACACACAATAGCTTTAACAAGTAACACTACATTTTGACCTTGAAAAAACTGCGGCTCACCACGACCACAGTAACTCAGGTTTCATAATGCATTAGTGTCCTCGGCTGTATGCGGCCACAGGATGCATTCGTACTTTAAGTGAGCGAGGTATTTATTTTATGCATGACCTCATAGCTGGAGAGTTACAGAAGAATAGATTTTCATTTTGACATGTTTGACTCAGCAGCCGATTATTGAACTGTACAGCGCCTCAAACACCGAAGCTCACATCTCTGGTTGTTTGTTTAAAAAAAAAAAAAAAAAAAAGGTTGTCAGCTTCCCTCAGTGGGGAGGAAGTCCTCGTCTTGTTGCTGGTGTTACACAGGGGATCAGGGCACTCTTTCAGGACCTTTATTTCTCTGCCATTACTAATTCAATTCACTGTGGGAAGACACTCTGCTGGTTCTTTCTCCTCGCTGTGAGCTGTCCCTTCCTCATTAGCTGGGCTTTTAACCCTGTCCATGCTGAATGCAAAACACATGAAACAGTATCAGAATGTTGTATTTGTCTATAAACTTCTTACAAAATACTATACTTTTCTCCCCCTCTTAAACATTATGACACAGCTACCATAGTCCTATTTTAATTAATTCATTTTTTTAATTTGTAACACGCTCATGAAAACAAAATGTCCTTGGGAAAGTTGCCTCATCAAACTGTTACCCCTTGTGAATTCGACTACATGCACATGTCCTCAGCATTTTAAAAAGGTGAATGAGCTTCTGCTTTTATTACCTGGAAGCTTTGGAAAACTCTAATTTTTTTTATTAAATCATCACTATCCATTTAGGACCTTTTTATTATTTGGTTTCCAGCTCTTCTAAGCTCCCTAGCCTTTTTTTCACACCTCTCTTTCCCTCTATAATTAAAGCTTTAAACTTGATAATTAGGTAGGACTCTATCACAAATAGAAGATGCTTCAGACTTGTGCTGTTAATACAGCGAAAACGAACATTTATTGAAGCGTGAACATTTTCAAAGAGACTTGAAAAAAAAAGGTTTAAAGACAACAAACATCACAAACCTTGAACATGCACAGCCATCCTTTAAAATCTACAGTGGAAATGACTCTCTGGTGGCAAGACTGGTTCTTCCCATGCGTGATGATGTATTCGCCATCCTACCTTGTTTACTTCCAAGTCAGTCTAACTCCCTCCCTCCCTCCCTCTCTCCCTCTCTCCCTCCCTCCTCCCACCCTCTCAGAGTCACTCAAGCACTTCCCTTGATCTGCAGACGCAACGAGAGCTCTCTTGTGCGGCTCGCATGATCATTTCACACAAAGGCGGCTGCAGATACTGTTAGTGCAAAAACAAAATTGAAAGAGGGGACGGTCTAAATCTCCTCAATCATAACAAATCAGTGATTCAACCTCTGGCACCGGGCTAAGCAGATTACTGTCATTTTCCACCACTTGTCCCTTGTAGCTAACAACCTCCAATTAGCAAATCCCGCTGTGCATATCTGTGCCCTGACAGGGAGCCACCATGACAAGCAGAGAAATTAGAAGTCCTGCATGTTAATCTACCATGCTCTGGCAATCTGTGTCATCGTCAAAACACTTTCAGGGGAAATACATATTCAAAGGAGTCACAGCAGCGAAGGCACAGACAGCAGCTAGAACAAAGACAATAAAGTCCTAAAACAAACAGCAGAGCATTGTTGTTGTTTCAGACGGCAGGTTGGCTGCTGCGAGCAAACTGAGGAAACAGATTGATGAGGAGGACTACAGAGAGCAAGTGTGACTGCTATGTATAATGTAACTATACCTTCTAGAGGGAGACGCTATTATTCACTTTGTTTGTGTAGTGTGATGAAATACACAAGTCATTCAAAGCCATGGCACTAGTGGGACACTACAGATTAAATACATAAATCAGCATTTTGTAGCACAAACTTTATTGTTTTGTATGTTGTCACATAATATGATTTACCATCTGTGGGCACATGTGTGTACCTGATCACGCTACCAATATCCTTCAGCTGAGTGGTAAACATACGTAAATTATATGCATGTCATTTGAAAAATGTGCAACTACAAATCCATTTATTTTAAAGCACCTCTGAGAAACTTTCTATTTGTGATGATTTTGGCGCCCCCTCTGGAAAAAGCAATTCCTCTTATCTTGTGGCCAATAATGTACTTAAAGGCTTTATATGCGATGTTTTGATCCAGCAGATGTCACTCTTGAGCACCAGCATGAAACCAAAACAACTCACGGTGCATTGTTGTGTTAGCATGCTAATGCTACAGCGATCTTTATTATGCTGGTATCTTCACACTGCATGTAAATTTACCTGAAATGAGCGTGATCTAGAAACACAGTTAAGCAGTGAGTACAGTATGTTATTCTTCTTTTCTCTAGTTCCTCAATTAAACAACTTTTATACACGAGGGGAGGAGTCAGCCTGCCGTCCCGGCGATGTAAACAAACTGAAGATAGGACTCTGAAAACTCTGAAAGCATCACAGACAGTGGGACTCGGGTGTTACACCCATTGTAGACAGTCATGACTCACAGAGTTATTTTCAGAGGATAGACTTGATTTATATTACAAGTAGGTGTGAAAAATCGCATATAAAGAAGTGTTGTTGTTGTTTTTTAACAATACACATCATCTGCTGTCTTTAACACTCAATGCTTCACTCAAATAATCTCTGCTGAGTAAATTGTCAGCAAGGCTGTTTTTCTTTAAAGGGTGAAGTTGATCAATTTGTCTGACACCTACCCCGCTCCACTGGGTTCAAGCATTTACAGCAGCTTTGTAGAAATTACCAATTTGTCCCTTATTATTTTGTTTTTCCTAACCAGCTAAAAAAAACTCCTCATAGTAGCTTTATATTTTATAGTTGAGTTGTTTTTTTTTTAGGGAGGGATTTTTGTACATACCTGTCGCTGTTGTGCCAGTTTGAGAGGTATCCCGGCGGGAGTAGGCTTGGGTTGCAGACAATGCGCCCCCGATGTGGAGATCTGTTGGTTCTGGAAGTGGATAGCTGAATGCGGCTGATTATGGCTGGTCATTGGAGACTGTTGCATCTGCTGCTGGGCTGAAGTCTTGTTCACTGAATTTGCCATGACAGGCAGAGGCTGGCTTGCAGAATGTGGGGCTTTAGGACTGAAGTGCAACGTGGGCTTGGTGCTGAGAACCTTCATGTCTAAATGATGGGAGCCATTGTGGCCGTTTGACTTGAAGAGGCAGTTGATACCTTTACCCTGGGAGCCGATCCTCTGCTGGCTGAGCGGGGCCGGGCTGGAGACCTTGTCCTGGGGGAAGGCGCTGGTGGAGGAGTGGGTGGTCATAGCAGGAGACCAGCTGGTCAATCCTGCAGGTGGCGTTTGGTGGTGGTGATGGAGCAGAGAGCTTGGCTGCTGCTGATTCGCTGCCATCTGCTTCAGCTGCTCTGCGTGGGATATTTCTGGCCAGCAGGGCATAGCTCTGGGGTGTCCTGCCTGAGTGTTAGCTTTCTGCGATGTGGTTGTAGAGGAGGTGCTGGTCAGCGTGAAAGAGGGTCCTGCTGAGGCCGGTCGAAGCTGTGGAGAGCCTCCGTGAACCTGGCCAAAGTCCGGAGAGGGCTCCATCTTTATCGGCTTATCCAACGGAGAACACAAACTAGCAGCTGCTCCTGCCGAGCTTGGCCGACCCAGATCCAAACCGAATGTGTCATCCTGCTTCAGGATCTTCTCAAACTCCAGATCGTTGAGCGTCGGCACCGACTTTGTCAGCTCGTCAAAAAGATCCTGAAGATCGGGGTCAATTTGACCCCCGCCCTCATCTTTGAAGTCAAAAATCATGTCTGAGTTTGACTGACCACAAGACGGGACCTCAGTGGGCTCTTTTTTCATTTCTTTCAGGGTCATGTTAAATATGTCAGACCCTACTCCATGGGGCATCATGTAATTCTTCCTCTGCATACCCATAGCTGAGGACCCTTGCAGAGAATGAGACTGGGACAAGTAATGGTGGCAGGGCCCATGTCCCAGACCACCAGGATCCACACGGACCCGCTTAAAGTCTGATCCAGAGAAACCGCAGGAGACCCCGTTCTGCTTTTGTGCATGTCCTGGTGCATGCCCCTCGAGCTTCCTTCGCAACGATCCTTGAAGCTGCAAAAACACAAAGGACACAGAGAGTAAGAAAACACTTCATAAACACAAAGACGGAGTTTGTGATGAATTTGATGCCTACACCCCCACAAGTCAATAAAACATTATCACAAAAACCATCAATTGTAGAATGAAGAAATAGTTTTCATAGCAATAGTGAATAAACATCTCACTTGATTTAAAAACTGTCTCTCGAGCCAATTTTTAATCATGGTAAAAGGTCTGAGTGTGAGTGCATTACCTGCTGCATTCAGCTCACAGTAATACAATGTAAATTAATCCAATTTTCACAATTTGCCTCAAGGCTTGCAGATGCCGCACACCTAACCAACTTGTGAAATGTAGGATAACTTCAACTGATATAGACAGTGATTTCTGTCAGTGAAACAACTCCTCCCTGTGATCATGTCAAAATGCTTCATTTGACAGAAATCACTAAGACACATCACATTGTGAGAACATGCAATTAGACTGCACATACAAAGCTTTTATACATATTCTATACATTCATGACAAAAGGGCCATTGTGGCAATAAAAAAAGGTTTTAGTTTGAGTGCAGTGGATGGGCTGAGAAGATAGCTAAGAATCTGATACAGCTGACAGACTGCAGCGAGAAGAATAGAGTCTTTGTTTCCCTCATTTGCATACATTATATTTTTTTTTCTTTTGTGCTCCCTTAGATAGCAGAGTTTCTCCTTTGTGGCTGAGATTCTGCTTAACATGCTGGTGCACATATCCAACTTCCTTTTGTCCTCTCCCCGTGTCTTTATTTAAGGTAATAAGCATATGACTCACAACTCCAACCACTCAGTATCACTCCATAAAACTGAGGCATTAAAAGCCAGAACAAAATATGCTTGTTAAAATAGCAAAAAACAGTTATTTATATTTTGCAGTAACAGATATTCTCATGCCCGTAAAGTGACGGAGCCCTTCTCTCACATGAGCTTGTGTGTCATTAACAGAAATGTAATAGGGGGAGGAATGATCTATCCAGCATCAATCTCAGGCACAGTGCTGTACACACATTAAGATGACTTATTATCTGACCACGTTTTAATGTGGGGTCTGTACCGAAAAAACAAAATGTCGCTGATTATACACCAATCCGGCCACACGAGACGAGTATCAGTGTGTTGCATATTTCACTGTGGGAACAAATTTGAGTCATTTCCACCTGCTGGCACACATTAGATTAAGATGATTCATAGCCTGCGGCTTTGGAGTGAATCCTGCAGTTCACTTCATTTCTACTCCGTTCGTGTCTGTATTACTTCTGCTAATGCTCTGAACAATTGCTCAGAGATACATCCTCACATTTTAATCATGGCACAAATATCCGTGTGACTCACCTAGCCTCCTTTATCAAAGCTAACACTGTGTGCATGTTTCCATATATTGAACGGATGTGGAGGGATGATGTCGATTATGTGTATGGTGGAGATGTATCTAAAAAGCAGACGGACATCGAAATGATCACTTCTATTTAGAGGATCAAACATCCCGCATTGCTTTCAGCTTAGTGAGCAGAAACCATTAGACTTTATGATTGCAATGGTTGCAAGGATATTCACTGATTTTCTAGCAACCAAGTAACCCTCTGGTAGATTTTAGCACAGTATTATAATCATCTTACAAACACCTAAAACTTCCTTGAGCTCCATGACAACCGCCGGAGGATAAAGCTGCCGTGTTAAGACAAAGACAAGAAGAGAACTGAGATTTATGTGACCGATGTCAAAGCCAAGCATTAGTGACCAATTTGTTGCCTCTTTCTGGCAACGATATGTTTTCAAGTAGCACTGCAACTACTGTGTTTTTAGAAATGCATTCCAATAGAAAATCAGTGATCAAATTCTTGTGTTTTGAAAAAGTGTCGCAATAATTTGGTAATTTCTTGCATTGAAATATTGTTGTTTGCTATAACATAAAATGTTAATAACCATTTATAAAAGACTTTATAAAAGAGGTTTTGAGCAAGGGAGCAAATCTGGACTAATGGATAATCCATTCCCAAAGTTTACAAACAGGGCCAACAAATTGCGAATCTGTTCACACAGATTTCTGAACCATCTGAACAGATTTACAGACAGATTTTTATTTGTATTTTACCTGACCCTTCAGGGGGCTCAGTAGTTATCAAATACCAACATGAATGAACATAAATAAGTAAGATATTTATGATGCACAATATTTGTTCTTCATGAGCCAAAAATATGTTAAAAAGTATGATCAAAGGAGCTCAGTGAACTTCTTGTGAAATTACATTTCAGGGAAAATGCAATGCTCACAAAGAAAGGAAATGGCTGTGTAAGGTGTCACTTTCCTCAAAAGGGAAGCACAGTAAAAAAAAAAAAAAGAGAAAGTTCTTGACATAGAAAAGAGAGAATGAGATGATGTGATGGCAGTGTGTCTGGATAAAGTCAAACTACTTTGGAGACACATACAGATTCAACTTGTAAATTCAACACAAGTTCATCTACAGTATGTTCACCAGCTCCCTTTTGGCCTCTTTCACTGAGATACACACTGTTAAACACCCCGGCTCTCCAGACTACTGGACATCTGTTTTTCTCCAAATGCAGATGAAAACAGGCCTTCTAGTGTGTAGCAGCTAATGCACACTTTCTCTCCAACCACAGGGCTCTTTCTTAAGAAGACAGACAGAAATCACTCCTCATGGTTCAAGGCACTGTCTGAGAAAACACATCATGAATAATGGAAAGGACAGTGGACATGTGCAAGAAGTCATGGAGAGGTTGCCTCACTACTGCCTCTGTGCCGTTTAAAGGTGGGCCCTTGTGGAGCACAAGTTCTTAGTTCAGACTTCATTATGCATCCTGAGACTTTGTTCATTTAAAAGAAAAACAAACTCACATCTAAACTAAGACACTTTGCTTTTAATAATTTCCAACCAGTAAAGGACTATCTTGTTCACTCAGCTCAGGACTCGGCAGCAGTGGCCTCCTAGCTGGCCTGAAATCCTCATGACGGATCTCCAAGTGATCTGAAAATAGATTTTTTGATTAACATTTAATGAGCTTAGAAGCTCTGAATCACTTTGAAAGTGACTCCTGCTGCATGAGCGGCTAAAATGTATGCATTATATACACCAACTATCTTAAGAGATGAAAGCATCGCAGCTCATACTTGTTTTCTGTGTTGCCAAAATGTAATTCAGCCCCGGTCAACGTCTAGGTTAAAGTGAGTACAGCTTTATTTGATTATTTCATTGTTACAAAACCCAAGGCTAACTACGTCATTTGTTTTGCCAGAAGTCACCTCAAAACCTCAACACCTTGAAAATTACACATCACATATGGTGTTTGCTGATTGGATTCTATCATCTTATTGATGCCCTTTGACTGTGGCAGTGAAGAACCTGACCTTGGCCCTGTCAACAGAGGCTATCTATTCCTGGGAGCTAGAGGGCTGGTAGCTTGTGTGTCAAGCTGAGCAGTGTGGTGATGCTGAGCACTGTGGATGGGGCTCCGGGTGAGCCATCAGTGGGACGCAACACCAGGCCTCCTGGTACCATCTGTCAGTCCAGTGGCGCAGCCCTCAGAGAGTCGTGCATGCTTGAAGAGTACAGGTTTAAGAGTGTTCGAAGGTTTTTCTGTTTGAACATGAGCATGAGCTTGTGGCTCGACAAAAGACTGAGCTCACCAGCCTTTAATCTATCCACCAGAGCCCTAAAGACATGTTGCAATCCGCTCCAGTGAGAGTGAGACAGAAACCCTCCTCTCAGTGTTTGACATGGAAAAAAAAACAATCTTTAAATAAAGGAATAAATACGACTATTGTGTTCCTAGGGAGACACAATATTTATGTGTCTCTGCCGATTGCACATTGTTGCAAGAGGGAATATTCAGCTAGTTTTTATAGTCAGATCAGAAAAAAAAGAGCCCTCAGACCAGTGCCAATGATCAGCTGTCATATAACATTCAGATATCTGCCTGCAGAACACAGAGAAAGTGTGGAGCGCTCAGTTTAATTATAGGGTTTCTACTAGCCTGTCTACAGCTGTAAGCTATTACACTATATCCAAAGAAATTGAATAAAACATCTAGGTTATCTTGAAATTCTTAATTATTTAACGGTAAGACTGCTGCAGTGGAGTACATCGTTTCTCGAGGTCTTTAATAATTTCAGTCAAATGTAGGGTCTCCTGTATACAATAAACTGTTTACTATTTTGAATCCTGCTTTGTTTCTAAGCTGTAGCTCGTATTTATTCAGTATCTATTTGTGATGTATTAATTAAGACAATGGATCCAGAAAACTTGGAAGTGGGTTGAGACCAGCAAGCAGAGAGACCATTCATTTCACATTATCAAGGTTTTATTTTAAGAATTCTTTTGGCTTTAAGTAATACAGAGGTCTAAAGAAATGTGCAATGCAAAGAAAACAATACCACGTTGAGGGCAGCATCAAGCCATTATAAGTGACCCAAAATGAAAAAAAGATGTCACATCAGCATGTATTGTGTGAGGTTATTACAGTTCAACAGGAAATACTTCACCAGATATCTATTGGAGCTTTATTTAGATGAAAAATCTGCCTCTTTGGGAATCTTTGCAGCTGCTTCTGGAATTTAATCAGTAAAATTGTCGTATTACGTTTGGGACAATGACTTAGTTGCTGACACGATGATTAAATTCGTTGTCTTGATCCTTATTTAAATAACATCATTTGTAAAATATCATCTTTTAAATCAAGCACGTGGCCTAAAGCCCGTTTCTAACAGGACATGTGCAGCGGCGTTGCACAGAAATGCAAGCAAAGGTTCATGGTGTGCTTTCCTAATCAGGCTGGCGCGTGTAGGGACGAAGCAGCATACTGCAGAGGTGGGCTACTTTTGGCTCATCAGCACTTTGCATCCCCACACTTCCTGACACAGTTGTATTAGATTGAGGCTGCCCTCCAGAGAGCAGGCAGGAGAGAAGGATGAGCAGCGGCAGCGGCAGCAGGAAGAAAAGAGAAGCAGCTTTGTGGCAGCC